GGTGAACAGGTAAGTCTTTTGACAATGCCCTTTGCCTTAGTTTTAAATATGCCTGTTGATAGAGAACTTGACCTTTGACCTGCTTTCACGTTTCTGAGCTCTGACGAGATACCTTTTCACAATGCTTTACTTTTTCAAGGCCCGTGCTGCTTTATTTTTACAAGGCCTGAGGCCTATATCGGGTAAAGGCCCTTTTATTTTCTACCATTTGCGGATTATCTCAACCTGAATCACTGACCTTGAAGCCCGCCCACACACTCTCTCTTGGACTGGATAGGCCCTCAAGGGTCTTCTGATCATGCCGAACCAGGTCCTCTCCGTCTTCCGAAAGTGAGTGAGGATTTTTTTTTTTTTTTTTTTTTTTTTTGGAGGTAGGGAAAAGGGATTCACAGAGATCCAATGCCCTAGCCCAGTATTAAGTCGCCTTAGTACTTTGTACTAGACAGCGTATCACGTCTTCCGACGCATTGTCCGAGCATATCACCCAGACGTCAGAGGGAGCTGTTGGCATCGTTCCTCCTCTCCTCCTGACATGTGTCGTAGCCATGTGTGGTGCGTGATAACCCATTGGAGCCCCTCCCTTTCGAAGCAAATTTAAAATATAAAAAATAGCTGCACTCTCTGCTGCACCAAACTACCTTCTGCAGGTTGTCGTCGACTTTTCAAATGTTCGGAATCATTGCAAATCAGGAGTCCTGACAGGTTTGTCGAACTTTGTTCGTGATATGAAGTTGTGTGTGATGACTGACACCCTTTTTCTTTCGGTTGGCTGTGCTGTGTCGTGTTGTTGTTGTTGTTGTTGTTGTTGTTGTTATTGTTTTTGTTTTTTTTTGTTGGTTGTGTTTTATGTGGCGGGTGATATTTTCGGGTCAACCAGATTCTGAAAAAGAGCAGCAGTGAAGCAGAGGACGGCTTAGGAACGGTCTCCATGTCAGCATCGTTGATTGCTGACGTTAGCCTCAATGTGGCAAAAGCGTCCATTGCGAGAGCTCGTCTAGTTGCAGTAGCAGCACTACCTCCCTCCGAATTAATGTCATCGAGGACATGGGTTGCCAATCTAGGTTCGTCTATTTATTTCCCCCAAATGCCCTTCAAACTTCAAAGTAACCCCCCTAGTACCCCTACCCTTTAAACCACTTCTACCTTCCAAAGGGGAAGGCTAGGGTGTGAATCTGACCGACACCGTGGATTCTTTGGTGGTCGGGCGCCACCGGACCAAACTGGCTGGCGGCGCCGGCCAAAACAACAGAGTTTAAAGTTTTTCAGGACTCCGCCGTGGCTTGGAGTGCAGTTCTACTTGGCCTCGGCAAAGAAAAAAGAGGCTCGGAGGTCGTGGCGGTTGAACCTGGATGATGTAGAGTACATAGCCCTCTGCTTGGGGAGACTCCTGGTGTTCAGGACTCTACCGCAAGTTACAAGGCTCGCGGTCGGACAGAGCTCAAACTTGCCGCCAAACGTACTCACGCCAGCGCTTTCCTGGATGTATTTGGCCTTAAGTATGCCCCACCAGGTATGTATCTGACTGCAATCCCGTCCAGAGCGGAGTCCAGAAGGTCCTGGTGTGAGTATGCCCTCACCTTTGTTCTAGATTTCGCTGATGGCTCCCAAGTTGAAGCCCTGTCTAAAATTTTGTCCTTTTCGGGCTTAGAAAGATTATTCTTAAAACTAAATTTTGAATGATGTGCCCTCGACTCGTTACCGGACCGAAGGACTAGCCAATGACTCGAGTCCGCTCTGCGGAGTGACAGTATCCTTAAAAATAAATCAATAAAGAATATATATATGCTGTGCCTCTTGTGCCAGCGGCGTGTCTGGAGTGTATTTTTTGGCTGTGAGTCTGTAACAGACCTTTCATTGTTTCATGGGTGTTTTGCTGGCTTGTGATGGGGTGTGAACCGACAGTCTGTAGAGTTTTCCATCTGGTGTGGGTGAGTGATAGTCTGCTTTGATATTTTTCGTCACAGGTACCTTGAGGGCAGTGGTTGGTTCCCACCTCAGGGTATCAGTTGTCGGGCAGTCGTTGATGCTTAACCACAGCCGGGGTTAAGGTGGATTATCACTTACAGTGTAATCCGTTAGGGGATTCTGCAGACTGCTGAGGGTTCAGCCTCCTGATGAGTCTGTCCGTGAAACTCCGACGAAACAGCTTGTGACACCCCATCGTTTGTTGTCCCCTTCCACCTCAGGGTATTAGTTGTCGGGCAGTCGTTGATGCTTAACCACAGCCGGGGTCACGGTGGATTATCACTTACAGTGTAATCAGTTAGGGGATTATGCAGACTGCTGAGGGTTCAGCCTCCTGATGAGTCTGTCCGTGAAACTCCGACGAAACAGCTTGTCACACCCCCTCGTTTGTTGTCCTCTTCTTCCTCTCTGCCTACGTTTTGCCAGACAGCTCGCTCTGCTTGACGATATATAATGGAGCTCTGTTTGACGATATATATACTTCTAATAAATTACTCGTTACTGCACCAGATGTACGTGCCATGAACTGGTATTGTTTCGAAATTCGAACATATTGATCGGGAGGTCGAGAGCACGAATTCTGTGTTTGGTATCAATATGGATTATCTCCTTGTGTGTAACTCACTAGTTTCACATGGAATGCATGCTCGCGGCGGAGAGAGGGAGTGGATGGATGAACACTCTGCACTGCTCTGCTCTGGCGATGTAGAGCAGGATGGCTGTTGTGGCTGTTATGCATGATGGTGCTGCTATGTGTGCAGGGTGCTATGTGCACTGTGGGCCGGGTACTATGTGACCTGGGTGGTACTATGTCTGTCGGGTGCTATGTGCACAGCGCGGCACTCTGCAGGCAGCAGGTTGACTGCTATTTGTGCTGGGTGCTACCACGTCGACTGCATACTTATGTACACTGGTTGCTATGCGCACTGTGGGCTGGGTACTATGTGTTCTGGTGGTACGATGTGCACAGTGCGGCACTCTGCAGGCTGGCTGCTATGTCTGCTGGGCGCTACGATGTCGACCTCGTGCTAAGTGCAGGTGTTGTCTGCTATGTGAGAGTGGGTGCTATGTTACTATGTTGAATGTGTGGTACTGTGTGTGCTATGTGTGCTATGTGGAGTGGTTGCTATGCTACTATGTTGACAGGTCGTGTGAGCTATGTGGAGTTGCGGCTATGTGTGCTGTGTGCTACCATGTCGACTGTGTGCTATGTGGAGTGGTCACTATGGTACTCGATGACAGGGCGGTACTGTGTGTGCTATGTGTGGGTGCTATGTTACTATGTTGACGGGGTGCTGTGTGCGGGGCGGTGCATCTTGGGCTGCATGCAGGCCGTGTGGTATGCTCACTGGGTTATACTATGTGGCTGGGTGGTACTGTGTGGGGTGGGTGATACTATGCGGTGTCAGTGGTACAGCGCGCGGTGGGTGGTACTATGTGGGGTGAGTGGACTGTCCTCTATCGGGAGGGTGGCGATTCGGGCTGCAGGTTGTGTGGCATGTGCACTGAGTGATACTATGTAGGTGGGTGGTAGTGTATGGGGTGGGTGATGCTATGTGGTGGTACAGCACGCGGTGGGTGGTACTACGTGGAGGGTGGGTGGACTGTCCTCTATCGGGTGGTTGGCCATTAGGGCTGCAGGCTTTGTGGTATGTGTGATACTATGTGGGTGGGTGGTACTCTGTGGGGTGGGTGATAGATACTGTGTGGTGTGGGTGCTACTGTGTGGGGTGGGTAGTACAACGCGTGGTGGGCGGTTCTACTTGGGGTGGGTGGACTGTCCTCTATCAGGTGGGTGGCACTCTGTCCACCAGGTGATACTATGTGGGGTGGGTGGTACTATGTGGATTGGGTGGTACACCTGAAATAAAAAGAAACCCTACGTAAGGCACAATGATTGTGGAAGTCAAGGCACACTGGTCCTGGTCATTTTTGAGAAAAAGCTCAAAAAGGGGATTAACATTTGAGTTGATTGTGAATATGTAAGGAAGCATGCATTGCCGTTCCTTCCTTCATTCCCATTAACATTTGAGTTGATTGTGAATATGTAAGGAAGCATGCATTGCCGTTCCTTCCTTCATTCCCTTTCTTTTTTTTTCCAACAAAAACAAATAAAAAATTTGTTTCATTCACGATCCCTTGTCTGTGGTTGCCTTTTTTTTTTTTTTTTACAAAGCATCCAACCTCTTTTTATTCTGAGGGGAACCAATCCGGTTACTAATCACCGGCCAGCCTGGAAAAAACAAGGATAAAGATGAACCAAGAAACATAACTGTGGCCACATTTCCTCTTCCTCTTCATGTAGGCCGAGGCTATGGCGGACTACTGAGGGCTCTGCCCTCTTGCTCGAAGAACAACCCAAAGCAGCTATGTCGCTGCCCTCTTGTCCAGTGGTCCACCGAGCAGCTATGCCACTGCTCATTCAGCCGCCATGCCTGACTCTGCCCCGAGCTTCCTTGGTGCGGGGCGACCCCAACTGGGGCCTTCCAGATGCAGCGCCTAAGAAGGTGATGAAGATGGTGTCCACCATAGCCAGGTAGGTACCTCGCCACTCTCCTCCTTGGTCCTCTTGTCCCCCTTCCTCCTACCGGTAGAGCTCCACCATAGCCAAGGTGGAAGCTCCCGGGCTTCTTCCTCCCAGCAGTGCTGTAGTAGCCAGCGCTCGAGCAGTGTGTCGCCAAACGTCCACACCGAAGAATGAGGCTGGGCTCTTCGCTCAGCCTCCAGATATAGCGGCCTACTTGCCTCCTGGGCGGTGACTTCCAGGCCGCTCGGCCTCCCAAGCAACCGGTATCTCCTCCTTTTTGGAGGGAAACATCACTGCAGACTCTGATATTGCCCATACAGGCCCTAGGCTCAGACTGGATGGACTGGTACCCGCCTAGACCTAGCCTACCGCTACTGGGCCTCCAAAAATCCCAACTTTGTCTTCTTCTGCTCGGCCTCGAGCACCGGGCACATCTACTTCTACTGGGTGCGGTACCCGCCTACCTGCTACTTGAGTGTTTTTCCGCTGCTCTAAGTGCCGCGGGGCCTTTGGCTCCGTCACTTGAGTGTTTTCCCTGCCGCAACCCTGAATGTCACGGCCACAGGTAAGTACCGGCCCTACGGGCCTCCCAAACAAGCAAGTACCCTTGCGGGTCCCACACACACTCATGCCGACAAGTACTCGGACAGGCACGCAGGTCAGAAAGCTCAGCAGAATGCGGGAATCTCAGTAAGGCATCCTTTCCATCGGCAGAACTCAGAAATCAGCAGTGTTATGGTGGGTCATCACATAACCTTTTAAGTTTTAAGGTTATCAGCGGGCAGCGGGAGACTTAACTGAAGTACCCAGGCCTACCCAATAAGCCAGAAAAATGTGCTATGAAACCAGCCATCCTACCTTGTTTCTCCTTTAAACTAGGGTAGGTGGCCAATCCTGTCAGGACAACCATTGGCTGCTGCTGCCAGCAATCACCGAGGGCAGGTCCTTGGCCTCTCTACAACACCCTGGGCTTAAAAAAGGAAAAAAAAGAAAAAAAAAAGGAAAACATCTAGGGAGATATCCCGAGCATCTGGGTCCCGACGTCACGCCCGGTTTGGCGACTGGGTGACCGGCCGGGCATGACCCCTGCGCATGGGCCCAGGAAGCCCCAGCGCAAAAACTAAAATAAAATCAGACACTCCCCTTTAAAGTTTAAACCCCTTTAGCCCCTTTAAAATTCATTTATACCCCCCTTCCCCCCCCTTGACAGCCAACTCTCAAAAAAAGAAAAGAGCCTGGATTTGGGCTCCTCTTGGAGAGCGCGGAAAAACCCCACCGCCAATTTTTATTTTTATAAATTTTATTTTTATTTTTATTTTGTATGTTTTTTTCCTCATGCCCCGGTATCCCGCGGGCGTCACGCCCGGGTGACCAGCCGGTCATGAAAATCTTCCTAGGAAAACATCCATGACCAGGTTAAGTAGCGGTGGTGGGGCTGCGTGTTGTCCGAGCGGAGTGTGTTGATTGCCGTGCCTGTGGTGTGGTGTTGTGTGTGTGTGGTGTGAGTTCAAGGATGCTACAGCCCTGGAGGTGGGCTGGATATCACGACCGGAATGGATCCAGTTTTTATAACACCTCCAAGGGTTGTAGTGGTTGCAAGACTTCGTCCGTGAGGCTGAGGGTGCCGGTTCGAGGCCGTGCGTGCACGGCGGGGCCTGATGCCCTAAAATACACATTGTTCAGTAACTACTATACAAGAATACCTCGTAAAGCAGAACTCAGAAGATCTCAAAAAATATATATATATTTAGTATTTAGCAAAGGGAATGGACCCCTGAGGGGAAGGGTCGTTAGTGAAAACCACAGAATAGGGTGTACGAACGGAGCTAGGCCCCTTGATGCAAAATTATTTTTTGGACTGACGTATCTGGTCAACATTGTTGACGTTGTGCGATGCGGCAGATGCAGCTGCAGGTGATTGTTACGCACGGCCTGTGATGGTGGAGATGGCTCGGGCATTACGAGGAGTGACAGCGCAGCACAAAAGAGAGTGGGTCCTGGACAGCATAGACACCGCCCGTATGTGCTGTCGCCCTTTCCTGGTAAGCAATGACATCATCATCACCGTCAGGATCATTTCATCATCCAAGGGTGTTGATTTTTTTTGTTTCTTTTCTTAAAAAAAAAAAAAAAAGAGGGTCGGCCTTGAGATATCATCGTGAAGGTGACCGGCCGCAGGTAATTCGGGAATTCAGTTCACCTAGTTTGTTGATGCATGCTCTTCGGAAGATGAGCGATGCACATGTCCAAGGAGCGCCAGTGTGATGAACAGGACTCAGAAAGAAAAAGAAAAAAACGATATAATGCAAATGTAGCGCAGCGGAAGACTGAAAGATATGACATGACACATCAGATCCAAACTCAACTCACACAATCATCATCACACATGTCACACAGCAAGGAGGGGAATCATACACAGAAGAAAGGTCCCTCCTTGCACACACACATGGGGAAGAAAGGAGGGGGAGGAGAGATGAGGGCGGAGAGGAGAAAGAAGACGAGAGTAGAACTCGGTAGTCCAAAAAATAGTTTCCCCGTCAAATGTCCAGCCAATGTCTGTCCTCGAAAATGTCAAATTAGATCCTGAGCGCACGTAGCCCAAAGTCCCTCTCTCTCTCTCTCCCTGGAGAAGAAGAAGAAGAAGAAGAAAAAGAGGGAGGAGGAAGAGAAGAAGAATAGTGGCTATGGAGGAGCGGAGAGGAGAAGAAGGGGAAGAAGAAGAAGAACAAGAACTCTCCTCTCTCATGCTCCTGATGACAATGCCACGAATACTGACCAGCGAAGGTGATGACTCTCGATGTGGATCGCTGCTGAAGTCCCATGACCGGTGTGAAGTCCCAGCTATGGCGCCCAGGTAAGTCTCTCTCTCCCTCGTGGACATGGCCTCCACCTACCTCTCCACCCCACTCTACTCCTCTACTCCTCCACCACTGCTCTATCACAGCTCTCCCCAAACTGGCGCTGCTTGCCCAACTGAGGCTCCCGCCCGAATGTCCTCAAAGTGGAGGACTGGCCCAGCTATAGACCGCTGGGCCTGGCTGAGCAGTCCTCGGTATGCAATCAGGACCATCGGATCTGATGTCCGATTGATGGTCCCGATCGCAGGCCCATGTCCTGGTCCTACGATCCTGGCCAAAAACGGCCTGCCTGGGTCCCTACCGGACATCCACGCAACCCTGCTGATGCAGCAGGGTCCTGAGTGAGGACTGGGCCAGGCACAAACAGACGAATGCCTGATCCAGTCCCAGATGCGGGAAAATCCGAACCTGGCCTACATCGGCCAAAACTGAAATCCACTGGTCCGAACAGGCAGCGGCCTGTTCGGACAGAAAGAAAAGTCCGAACCGACACGTCTGAAACAGACAAAAGTAGTCCAGGCAAACCGCAGCCCCAAACTCACTTAGCAAAAATAATTGAATAAAAATGCAGAAAAAGGAAAGCGAATGGGACAAAGGATATGAGCCTAGGCCCAAAACTTGGCTGTGGCCCACCCAGTCGCCCAGCCAAAGGGGCTGTGCGGCCCGGGAGCTGAAAAGGGAAACACCAGGCCTGAAGGGCCCGTGGAGGAGCCCCTAGGATGCTACATTCGGTTTGGATTCGAACTGAGGTCTGTAGTTTTTCGACAGTTTATAGGTGTACGGACTGAGCTGGGCCCGCTGGTCGGTGTTGGATTTTCACAAACTTTTTTTTTTTTTTTTTTTTTTGTGTGTGCGTGTCATCCTCTTGCGCACGGGCCATGCTAATCTTCTCTCTATCGTTCCAATTTTGACGGATGTCCCTAAGGACAGG